CGCCGAATAAAATTGCAAATATTAATATAAGTGCAAATTGACATTTTGCACTTATTCCAATTTGCATTTATGCCGATGTTTTCAAATTCTTTTGGTGCGCTAATGCCAGTTCAAGTTTTGACAAGTGTTTCACACTTATCTAGTTCTCACTTATGCAAGTTCGCATTTAGATCAGTTCGCACTTACGGCATTCGCACTTATGCCAGTTCGCACTCTTGAAATTCGCACTTATTTAGCCGGACTAAGTGCGAATTTTGGAAAATACCAAACGAAAATTCAAAACTTGGAATTTTACAAAATACAAAACCATTTTAAATATAATAATGTTTATAAATTTCTGAGATTATTTGAGTTAATTAATTAGTACTTTTCAGTCTGTTTAATGTTTTTTTTTCACCCCAATAGTTACCGTAGAACGGGGTGATTTTGTTAGGATTTTGAGCATTTTTGAAAAATAAATCTGGTTCATTACAATTTTTTCTGATTTTTTTTTTCCCGTTATAACATTATACCTTTCCTTTATATAATTCCATTAAATATTTTTAATTTTTTTTTGTCTTAATATATATATTTTTAATCCAAAATGTTATCAATCTCACCCCGTCGTTTGGGGTGACTTTGATAGTCTATTATTTCTTAATGGCTTATTGATTTAACCCTCTTTACAGTGTCGCTAATACTTTCTTTTTGACTTTTACTAAATTAGAACACAACATATTAATTAACTTATAAGATTTACTGGTAAAATTATAAATTTAGACAACAAGTTTGGTTATCGAATATATCTACAGAATGGACAAAGAAAAAACAAAAATAAATTTGATGTTAATATGCTAAACACAGAAAAATAATATATCAATAACATTGTTATAGTAATTAGCAGTTATAAAATAACACTAACAAAAAAATAATACTAATTGCATATAAATATTAAGTACTTATAATATCCTTTAGTTGTTAACTCAATTCAAAATTAAAAAGATATCCAAAAAAAACAACAACATATATATGTGGTATATTCCAGTGGTATTATAACTGGAAAATACCACTTGAACATCTAAGTATAGATTTTTAGAAAAAAAAATTTCAAAAAAATTAAAATCACAAGATTTTTTGGCATTTTTTGGTACGTGTAAAAATCGTTATTTTTTTGTTATAGTCATGTTATTCCTAACACATTTGCACAATTTAGAATCACTTCACAATCATTAAAATTTCAAAAATATTAGCAGAATATAATTATGTACAAGAATAAAAAAAAAAAAAAGTCTCTAATTGTGCAATTTCACATTCAAATTATTATTTTTGTAACTAACAGACGAAATTATCAAAGTCACCCCGCGTATCAAAGTCACCCCGTTCTACGGTACGTGTGAAATTGTATAAATTAACATCGCTATCATGATATGAATGATAGCGATGTTAATTTATTTACATGATACCAATTTTAATAAGCTTTTTTTTTTAAATATATTATATGCCAAATAATATATAGTAGATTTTAACAAATAATATATTATATATTCAAAAATATTATTTTATTAATATAATTTTCTCGCAACTTGTAACCTTAGCGTGGGCGAGTGGATTCTGCTTCTAGCCAGTAAGCCTAGGGTTCTAGATTCGTCTCTCGGTATCAATATTGATTTAATTTTTTTTAGTTTAGTGCACAAAGGTTTTGCTTTTTTTGTTGCTGCACACTTTTGTACACCAAATAAATAAAATTCTACACTCTCGCTCAAATAAATAAAGTTCTACACTCACATCGACTAAGTAAGATTTAGGCGTAGTTGACTTTACAGTCAACATGTAGATACATCAACTGAGGGTTTTGGTTCGGTCAAATACTCTTTTAGTTAAAAGAAAATCTTCTCTAGATTTAAAACTAAAAAATTAAAAAAAATATGTTGCGTCACAAAATCGTGACACCCTCTCCCTCTGGTAACAAATCGTCACAAAATTGCCTACTCCCTCCCCAATTCCTAAAGCGTGACGTAATTTGTGGACGACCCCAAACAAGATTTGTTAAAACAAGTAATGATTAATGTTCACGAGCTATATATATTTGAGCAGCCGTAGCGCAGTGGTTAACGCGCTTGTCTCAGAAACTAGAGATCTTCGGTTCAACGCTTCAGGGTAAGGAAGGGGGCGTGAACTTCCTTTCACATGCTAAGTATCACTATAACAAGTACAATATAATTTCGTTTATATAATTCTAAGAATAATCTGAAAAAAAAAAGAAAATCCTGTATACTGAAAAAAAGAAAACATAGTATACTAAAAAAGTTTTTTTGTAAAATGACACTATAAACACATTTAATGTAGCGCTATAAGTGTTTTTAAAAATTGTTTTTATAAATTGTTGGATGAAGACACAATTCACAAATAAACTGTTGTAAAATAAAATTTTATTATATATATTTTTCATTACTAACTAAAATTTCTTGCCTTTTTTTGTATTTTTAGGTTCTAAAAAAAAATAATTTATAATGATTCTGCTGCGTGCTAAACTTTTAAGCACTTTCTGAGAGGTTTTGTGAGCTTACCCTGCTTAGTCCACGGGTTGTCAAGAAGAGAGTGTAAAAGTCTACTGGCTTTTAGTGGATAAGAGTGACTGAGAGGCTATAGAGGTCGTAGACCTCAGTTTGTTAAATAAGAGTGACTGTGAGTATATAGAGGTTGGTTAAACCTCTTATAGAGGTCTACTCAGAGTGATAAGACAGTTGAACAGATTGTTTTAAATAAAATCTTCATTATTTAACTATTCCAGTCACTGTTTAAATATTACAGTCACATTTCTAAAAAATCACAAAAAAAAAATTGGAAAAAAAGTTTTTAAATCTTAAATGTTTGTTTATTACTTTCATTATAATAAAACTCGCAAATTTTTGCTGCTCATTTGAGCTATGATCTCTAGTTCCGTTAAACAAATCTCATCTGCTTGACTCGTCATTCAGCAAAGTTATATCCTTTTACTGTATCTGTCCCTGCATGTTCTAAAAGCTTTTATTTGTCTAGTTCCGCCCCACCCTTATAGGCTTTTAATGGTATACATACCGTTAAAAGCCTGCATTACCTCTAAATGATCTAATGAGCGTAAAGTTCCAATTAGAAGCTTTGTTTTATAATAAAATCCAAGGTAATAAGTTTAGGAAGTAAGAATGTTGCAACAACTTTTATAAAGATGTGCACAAACACAAAATACCAACCAAAACAATAAATCCAGAAAGAAAAGATAGCAGGTATCTTCTATGTAATTGAACTAGAATTTAAGCTATATGATACTAGAGATTGAGAAAATGAAAACTTGATAACTTTATAAAATAAGTATTTACATCTTTTTTATCATTCTATGAAAATTGCACAACTTTATCATAAAGTGAGGAAACTTTTATTGTGTTTATGTTTCAAAATTTTAGGAGTTTTGTTTATTTATTTTTTCAGGATGGTCGAGTGATTTGGGATAGTAGTGTAGTTTGGATCGAATAGTTTTTGGCAAATATTTAGTTAGTAAACTTTATTTTTAAACACGCATTTTGAATATTGGTTTTAAAAACGAAAACAATTATGTCATTTGCACTTTTGTTCCGGTTTCCTTGTAAATATAAACATTCCCGGAGCAGGAGAAAAAACAGACTTCCGGAAAAAACAGAGTTTTCTCGTTTTATAACAGTCAGTTCAAGAAAAAAATTAAAACATATAGTTTTTAACTGTTATTTTCGTAAACAAAGTAAAAAATATTCTTTTACTTCGTAAACAAATTTATTTTTTTAAATAGTAATTGTAAAGACAGCAGAATTATTAAAGTTTGCAAAAACTTTAGAAAAAGCGGGAAATAGCGATTCAAACAAACCTAGTCATTAAATATACAATACATAATACAATATAAAATACAGTAACGACAGCAAATTTGTAATTTTTATTTAACGTGATGTAAACAGCAGTAGCATAACTCTTTCTCTACCGCAAGCCACTTAGCGGCTTTTGATTTTTTATTGTTTTGACCTCAAGCCGCTGGTTGTGGCATTCGACAATTTATCTTGAATTCTAGACACATATAGTTTGCTTTTTCCTAAAGCCTAATTAATTCTCTACATAATCAAGTACAAATATGAGCCATGATGTGTAATTATAATTATTTATCACTTGACAAAGATAAAAAATCTTGAGTAATCCTTGGCAAAAAAAAATTCTTTAAATTTAGTTGGTAATTAGTAAAATAAAGTAGCGTTAACACTGTAAAATTTAACTTGTAGAAGCGTGTGAGTTTGTAGCTAATTAATTACTAAGTTCTTTTGAAGGAAAACGTTTTTTTATGAGCTTTGTTTTGGACTTTATGTTTTAGTTACTATTTATAAAAACGATGGTTTAAGTATTTTGAATTTCTTATTGTTCAATGATGCGTGTTAAAAACTTATTTAATGAAAAAGATAATTTGTTTAGCCTTAAAATGAGGGGGGGGGGGTGTAAATTTTGCACGGTCATAACTTTTGTAATTTACAATATTTTTTTACGAAATTTAAAATCTGTCCATAAATTTAAGTTTATTTTAAGATAGTAAAGTTGAAAATTTTACTACATCAGTGCCCTCACGTTTGGGCAGGAGGTTGCAAATATTTTAGGGCTTTTTTTGTTACCAAGCCTCCGCCGTCCCAAATTTTTGCAGGGCTTCCTCATTTGGCATAGGTATGAACATACTCAGGTTTGGAGTTTGTGTCCTATCTGAAACATCAAAAAATCCTGCGGGTGCCCATGGATATAACTACTTATGTTACTATTCGAATTTTAGTTAGTTGTCATCCAAATTTTATTCAAAAAAATGTGCGGTCACAGTGAAAAGATTTTTGTTAAAATGGCGGTAGAGAAAGAGTTTAAAAGTGATTCAGAGATTACTATTCCTATGAGAATAGATAATCTATTCAAGGAACTAAAACCTGTTCTAAGGAAACCACTACAGTAGATGGTTTTTATTTCGTAATTTATTAATCTATAACAAAAACTTTATTTTATTATATCATCTAACTCTAAGATAATTTACAGACCACAAAAACAGATCATTATTTATTTGATAAATTACAAAATATATCAACTTATAATTTAAATATTTTCAACTTTTAAGCTAAAAAAATTAAGTTGTGTATATAAAGAAAAATTATTTTATAAGTTAATACCAATTTATAAATGGAAAAAATAGGTTTTTATCCAAATCTTAAGTCGTAAATTCGAATCCGAGTTTATTCAAAATCCAAACTAAACATAGTTGTAAATTGAGAAATCAATTCATAAACTAATTTCTATTCATACGTGAAATAATCAAGTCAAATATAAAGTTATATGATGGAAAATATAAGTCAAACCGATTCACAATTTACATTCTCAAAATTCATCTTAAGCCGAATTCAAAGTTAGGCGTACGATCAATCAATTAAGCTTGTTCAAAGTCAGGAAATGTTTTTATTTTCTTTTTACCTAAAACCGACAATTTCTTTATATTATTATACAATACCTTTATATTAACGCAAGTAATTTTTGTTAATTTACTTTATTTGCAGCAAGTTGAAAGATTTAACTCTCCAACCCAGTTTCCATACGTACCACAGTTACCATGGCAGTTAATCGAGCTGCTACCGAAAAAAGATTCGCGGATATAAGTTGATGAAAAATGGAACATGTTAATAGCTCTTAAATAACCCGTGAATAATTTAAAACCTTTTGGACAAGCTCCGTTAGCTAAAATGCAGTAACTTCCAGTCGGCCATTCTTCACTTTTCGACGTTTCTAATGCAGCCTTTATTTCAGACAACTGCTGTTGGCTTTGTTGAACCTTTAATTCAAGTTCTCGATTTTTTCGAAACACATAATTAAATGACGTATTGTAGCCTCCCGTACAGTTTGGCTGGTTCATAAGTTCAATATGTTTTTTTTCAAGTGTTTCCATTGCGTTCATAGTCTTTTTCTTAAGTAACTCTGTTAATTCATAGTTAAACAAAGTCGTTGCGTTGACAAATTTATTGTATTCGTTATAAATGATATCTCTGGTCTCGTCAACATTATTTAACAATTCTTTTAATTGTGGTAGTTCTTTTGAAATATTTTCTATTTGAATTAACAATGTATTTACAGTTCCGTTAACCGTTCCAATTAAACTATCGATCGTTTGTCGTACTTTGGTTTCACTTCTGTTTAAATGGGTTGTTAGTTGTTGTATTTGATTGTCTTCTTGACTCACGTTTTTTGTCTCGATGGCTTTTGTTGCATTTAAATCCAAAATATCTTGCCTTATTTTTTCCAACTGTTTTTCAATTTGCTGAAACCGTTTGTCAAGTTTTTCGTCCCTTGAATTTATATTTAAAGCAGTTTTCAACTTACAAATGAAAGGATCAATTTCACCTTCACATTTTTCATTTGCATTAAGAGTACAAAGTAACGTACATATCACTATAAAAAATAATGGCCACATCATTACTTTTTCAACTTAATTAAAGAACAATTCAACAAGTATAGAATAACGTGCAAACACGTAACTTTAGAAAAACACGTAAATCGTTTAGAAAAAATATTGTTTTTATTTATTATAAGGTTTTAGATGGTTTGGTATGTTTACATTGCATGACAATATCAAACAGTAATGTCATAAAGTCATTAAAAAGAGCTCTGCTTTCTAAGATAAACTCAAGTAAACAAAATGTTTTTAAAGGTAACAAAATAGTGTCATTTAAAACGACTCACATAAATAAAAACAAATATTAGCGAATAATAAAGTAGCAAATATATGAAATTAAACGGCAAAATAAAAAAATTCATGCGCATGCGCTTTTGTTTCAACTTATTTCTCGCTTAATCTTTTTTGACTCGTAAATATTAGGTTTTTATTATGGTTATCGGTTAGGTTATCGTGATTAAAAAAGTGTATCAAAAAAAACTGTTTTGAAATAATAAAAGATTTCATAAAGGAATGTTCTCATTAATTCTTTTAATTTAATAAAAATCAAATATGTCAATAACACAGTTGTTATGATATCATAATTAAAAAGTAAACATTACGTCAGAAAGTTAAAAGAAATAATATTTTAACTTTATGACGTATTTTTTTAAATACCAGTTATGATGTCATCCAAATATCGTAAATTCAGTTGTTGGAAAATAAAATAAAAAAAAAATTATTAAAATAAAACTGTAAATTATAAAAATGCTTAAGTTTAAGACATTGTAAGTAATACAAAAGATTTTAAATCCAGACATCAATTATTGATGCACTAATTTAATAGTTAACGTCGTTTTGTGGATATCTCACCATAAATTTTTATTAACAACAATTCCTGAATATTGTGTAGGTTGCTTTTTTTGTTAAAAGTCTATGTGATTCCGTGCCAACTAAAAGTACGATTTGCTCTGTTCTTTAAGAACATTGAGCACTGTATTTGTAGAATACACTAACATAATTTATATATATATATATATATATATATATATATATATATATATATATATATATATATATATATATATATATATATACAAATTAGAAAATGTATTATTATGGTATAATAATAATAATACAAATACTCTTGTGCGTTTAAGAGTGCTCAATACTATTAAATAATAGAGCAATATTTATTTATATTAAATGAATAAAAACAACTTTTGATTCAAAAGTTAATAAATAATAAAAAGTTAATAAATATCAAAAGTTATTTTTATTCATTTAATATAAATAAATAAATAAAAAAATAAATAAATAAATATATATATATATATATATATATATATATATATATATATATATATATATATATATATATATATATATATATATATATATATAAACAATTTAAAATGTATTCTACAAAAAGAGTGCTCAATGTTCTTAAAAGAACAGAGCAATTACAAATTAGTAGAAAATCAATTAGCAAAATTTTTTCTCATTTAACACTGTGTTTCATCAATAAAGACTCATCCAAAATTTGATCATTCATTTCTGATGAGTCTTTATTGATGAAACACAGTGTTAAATTAGAAAAAATTTTGCTAAGTGATTTTCTACTAATTTATATATATATATATATATATATAATATATATATATATATATATATATATATATATATATATATATATATATATATATATATATATATATATTATATATATATATATATATATATATATATATATATATATATAAATATATATATATGTATATGTATGTATGTGTATGTATATATATATATATATATATATATATATATTATATATATATATATATATATATATATATATATATATATATATTTATATATATATATATTTATATATATATACTATACACTATATATATATACTATATATATACGTCACTATTAAAGTGACATAAGGTCATATTACAATTAGATGAAAAATGTGCAAGACCGGCGCTATAGAAATGTGTAACACCCCCTACTCCAATTAACTAATTTTTATACCATCAGTCGGCAAACTGCTTCCTTTTTGTACCTTCATTCTTTTTTTATCAACTTTTTTTACTTTTTTTTTATTTAGCCGTTAACATAAAACTTACAAATTTTGTGTTTTAAAATATATAAAGTTTGCAAGGACAAGAAGAAAAAAAAAAAGCAAAATACTTCAAAAAAATTGCAGGCTTTAAAAGTTATTTTAAAAGTAATTGACAAAATTAAAAATTATTTCCAAGCAAATAAAATGAACAGATAATTTACAATGATAAATGAAAGTTTTAAATTATTATACCTTATACATAAACACAAATGCTAATTTGTGTTTATGTATAAAATTTACTTTAATAAACTGTAATTTTAAAATAATAAAATGTATTTTAACTTTTTATAAAAAAAATAATAATAATAATTTTGTATATCAAATAGCTGATTTATCAATAAATTGATTTATTTAATATTGATTTATCAATAAATATTGATAGATATTGATTTATCATTAAATGCTCCTATTGTAAAAATAGAGGTATTAAACCCACTATTTAATAGATCTAGAAGTTTTTGCATTCATTTTTAAATATTTTTCAAAATTCATGTGGTACTTGGGGTAAAAAAAACAAAAAAAACAAAAAAAAAAAGGCACAAGTGCACATAACGCGTTTAAAATACTGGTAAGATTGATGTATAGTCAAAAATCTTCGAATAGCCATCAGTGTTATATTTTAAGAACATAATGTAATATTCTTACTTTTAATAACTACTATTTAATAATATTTATATCTTTATATTATATACTATATTAAATAATATTTATATCTTAGAATAAGTATTAATGCCGACAAAATTATGAATGTCGACAAAAGTAATAATTTCGACAATAGTATTTATGTCAAAACAAGTTTGTGTACAACTAAGTTTACTAACTTGGTAAAGAGATTTTTAGTATATTACTAAAAATAATCGAAAACATCAACAGCAAAAATTAACAGATGAGTGGCAGATTTAAAGGATAAAAGATAAATATTTATTAATTGATCCAACTGGGATCAACTGATAAAAAAATAGTTTTTAAATATAGAATACCCGCCCATTCCTTAAAAAGAGCCTACTTTTCTTGAACTTCACTTTTCTAGAAAATATTTAGACACTAATAAACAATTTTAAATATTTTTTTAAAAAATAACTTTAAAATTTAAAATTAAAAGAATGAAAAATAAAAACTTATCAAGTTCAAATGACTAAAAATTTCTACCGAAAACATTACAAAATATTTTTATACAATAACGGACAATTCGACGCCCCTACTTTTATTATCTAAGTAGGGCGTCGAGTTGTATTATATAAGTCGTATATTAAGTACATATTAAGTTATTTATTACGCTTATTATTACTACTACTATAAATAGACGCCATGGTTTCCAAATAAATAAAAAAAAAATTCAAAATAAAGATTTAAGTTAAAAAAAAAAAAAGAATTCCAATTTTTTATTTAATATCTTATGAAATAAGTTACATGTGTGATATCTTGCCAAATACATTCTTAAAAAATTGAAAATATTTCTAATAACAAAATCACATATAACGTCACATTTTTAAAGACGCCAAAACAATAACAAACTTTAGATTCCTTCTTCTACCCTTTTAACAATCCAAAAATGTTTACAATAACTACCAGTTTCTTTCCTAAAATAAATTTAATACAACGGTACCTGCGCATTGACTATTTTTATTAAAAAACAAATTAGAAAAATCTAAATTAATTAGTTACATGGGAATCTACGTAGTAGAACTAACTGAAAATCAAGAAATGGGATCACATTAAGCAAGTTAAAAAGGTGCATTCAGAGCTCCGTAGTTTGTTTATATATAAAAAAATCTACGTCTTATGTCTTTATATTTATATATTACATCTCTAGCTATAACTCGGGGTGAGTAAAATTGGATATCCGGTCCGGTTTGTAAAAATCTGTAGTTGGAACTTTCAACTATGGGTGAGCAAAACCGGGATATCCGGAATAGACTAATTGAAATCACCTCTAGTTAAAACTTCCAACTTGGAAGTTTTAACTAGGGGTGAGCAAAACCGAATATTGGATTTGGTTCGGTTAAATCCGAATCCGATTTCAACAAAACGGACCGGATATCCGGTTTTGCCTACCTCTAGCAATAACCGAGTCATAAACGAACATTTTTCCGTTATAAATGATCAAAATTGTTTTAAGAATTAGCCTTATTTTCTACCCATTTTTTACTTTTTAAAATTCAAGCAGGCTTGCCAATAGATGATATTTGATATCATTTTTAAAAATAACTTGCATTGCATCATGTTTTCGTCTGGGAATATCAAATTACGTAATTAATATCAGCAACTATAATGTGAAAAAAAAAAAAATTAACTAAGATAAATCTTAAGTAAAAGTTTAGTAAAAATTTTGTAAAATTGATACGTCAATTCACAGTTTTATTCAATTTATACTATTCTAGTTTATTATTATTATTATTATTTTATAGTATTCAAAGCAAAAAGTTAAAAAAAAGTGGTTTTGTAAAAAATTTTATTCTGATGAATTTAAAAAACGTAATCAATTTATTCTGATGGAGGTATAAGACTTGCGCATTAAATATTAAATATATTAAATTAGTTATACAATATATTGATAAATTATATAATAATAATTTAATAAGTAAATATATAGTATAATAGTAAAAATTAATATTAAAGTATATTTTAAATTTGATGCAGTTTTCTTTAGATTTTCTAAAAATCTTTCCTTATAAAATAAACAAAACTTCATTAATAAATATTAATTAGTTAGATAAGTCACACGTAGGCAGTAAGATTCAGGGCCGGTCCTAAGAAACAGGGAATCCCAGTTTCACCAATCTTTGAGGCCCTGTATTAATATAAAATCTCTAATTAGTCGCGTAATTTTCAGTTTCAGTATTTTATAGGTACAAATAACATGACGACAAAAAATATAACAAAGAAACTCATTATCCAATAGGGTATTCCATAATTTTGGTCCTCTGATTGCTATCGAGAACCTAGTCTCAGAATAATATTTTTTTGGTTGAATATAATTGTTGTTTGAAAATCTTGTCGGGTACATCATTTTTCGAAAAAATAAATCATTTATACCCAACAAGATTTTCAAACAACAATTATATTCAACCAAAAAAATATTATTCTGAGACTAGGTTCTCGATAGCAATCAGAGGACCTAAATTATGGAACACCCTATTGGATAATGAGTTTAAAAAAATTTCTTCCCTTGATCAATTTAAAAAAAAAATAAAAAGTAAACTTTTGATAATTGACAATGAACTTGACTTTTTCTGAAACTTTTAAATAGAAGTAATCACTTGTTTTTTACTTGATATTTAATTTAATTTTAACATATTAATTTTTGATTTTAATTTGAATCTTTACCTTCTTAAATTATCATGTTTTATCTCATTTTTATTTACTATTAAAATTTGAAATCCTAATAAAAAAAAAATAATAAAAAAAAATATTAAATTTTAATGAAAAATATTTAGATATTTGTATTTATATATGTATCTTACGCATATATTATATTGTGATAACGGATTTTTTTTGGTTTTTTGGTTTTTTGTTTTGTTTGTTACTTATATTCTTGTTTGAAGGGGCTTGGCGATAAGACTGAATTTGTCTTCTTCTTGCCCCAGCCGTGTATATACAGTTTTTAAAGTCTAATTTTGTAAATATTTTCTTTATGGCGAAATATATATTATATTATATTAAAATACAAAATTTTTTTTTATCAAAAAAAGTATAAACAGAAGTATCGCGAACAAGTCACAAAGAAAAGTGTTATGAGCTATATACATACTTATCTCCGTGGTTTGGCTTATCTCCGTGATTTGACTTCTGCAAACTTTTTAATCATTTCTGTTAAAATAATATCAATTTGATAAAAATAATAGAAAGTGTTCGCAGTCGGCCATCACTGTAGTTTTTAAATAGATTATAAGCAGACTATAATAATCGGCACAGTTTCTATAGTTTGCAAAGCCACACACAGGTTTGAAAATACAAAAATATGTCAATGGTGTCAAGTTTTATAGAAGTACAATTGAAAACATTTCATAAAAAATTGTTTACCACCAATTTCTGCTTGTTGCTCAAAAGTTACCATATTATAAAAATCAAGTTGGTATCTTTTGTTTATCTTCTGATAAATTGGCCAATTGCTATAAATGCTTTAAATAAAAAACCAATTACTGATGCGTAATAATTATTTTAATTAAACCTTTCTTTCTACAACAAAATTACACTTTCTATGATTCAACAACAATCTGAAAGAATATTAAAGATTTCATATTGATAGCGTTTTTCAAAATTGTGGGTAGGGTCATTTTTATTTTTGTAAAAAATAAAAATGTAAAAAAATTTTGTAAAAAAATAAACGGTCTTAAGGAATAGATGTTTGGAATCAAATCACATAACGAACTCGGGATTTACTAAAGAACATATAAGGCTAAGAGCTTGAAACTATTTTTTTTAAATCATTTTTAAAAAACTAAAAATTAGAACTTATATGAGTTTGACGTCAGGCCAACATTGCACATTGTCTCTAGCTTTTCTTCTCATCGAACATGGACGTACTGAGTACTAATTGAGTAGTAACTCAATTAAAATTTAATAAAATAATCCCCAGTTATGGAAAGATTCTAATCTTTGCAAAAATAGTTAACCCAATGTAGTGTAACTTAAACTTACTTTTAATTCTAAGTTTATATTGTTTTTTTTTAAATTTAGTATGAGTACACTGGCAATAAGGTTTTAATTTATAACTCATGGTAAATCAAATATTACTGTGGTCTGTATTAACACAAAAATTGCGTTTTATCCTCCAATTTATTTAGTATTGTTGAGTAAATAATAATTTGTAAATTAATATTATTACTGTCTTTTGCATTTTTGATATCTACGTTGTATGACTACCACTGACAACATACCTAATTATTGTCATAAAATAAAAAATATTCACATATATCTTTTTCTAACGATTGAAAAACTTGCAAAACTGAAACTTGTCAAAGGTTGTTCATAAATTATGTTACGCTATAGGGAGTGGGAAGGTCTTATTGATTTTGTAAGGACTCTTACTTGGGACTTGTTACTAAAGAGTCGCGATGTTGTGACGAGGGTGGGGGAGGGGTCAAAAACAGTCAAAAATTGCCTGATGTAATTTATGAACGACCCCTTTGATAAGTTTCAGTTTTGCGAGTTTTTCAATTGTTAGATCGTTAGTAAGTGCCGATAAAAAATATAACTTTTTCCTTTTTTGAATAAGGGGATTATTCATTTCATTTTGCATGTATTTACCAAGGTAAATGCACAAAACATTCTTTACATTGATTCCCCTTATGTGCTCAAAAAACATCATATTATCCAGAAATTCAACCAATTCAAAATATTTTTATATTTTGTATTTAAACCAGTAACTCTCCACCGTCAGCGTCAGCCAAAACATATATTATTCTAAATTGATATCAATTTAGAATAATATATGTTTTGGCTATATCATGATATAATTGTTTAATAACTTTTCTGAGCATGTGCAAATTTTTAAAGCAGTGGAACAGCTTCTCAGACAAAAACCTTATACGTTGAGTAGTAGTAAACTTTGAAAACAATATTCTAAGCAGTTTTATTTTCAAATAAGTATTTTTAATACTGTATAAATATTTTTAGCTTCTAATAAATATTTTTTACTGACTAGTCAGTAAAAGATATTCAATAGAAGAATTAGTCGAGAACTCTATCATAAGGTGAATAGTTGTATATCAAATCATAAAATTATTTTACAAGTTTTATGAAACTTTAAACATAATATCTGCCAATCTCAGCGTAGTTAAGGAGAGATCCGAAGAAAAAAATAATGTTTAGGCCCTTTCGTTTTCAAAAAAAGACGTTTTATTTTGTGTGTGTTTTGATTGGTTTATTTTTAAAAAAAATCGCGAAGCTCGTTGTTTTATATTGTTGACAAATATTAGGAGGGGTGACATCTATATGCGTAAAGGTATCTGAAGGCCTTCTGAGTTTACATTTAGACCCGCACGCCCGCGTAGCGAAAACGGAAGACCTTCAGAGTTTTTTTAAAGACCCGCACGACCGCAAAGAAGGTCTAGAGGCGCAATGAAAAAATTGAGGCGTACGGTAGTTCTCCGCATATTTATTGAACAAAATATAGTGAAACATTTAATAAGAAGCTGGATTTAATAAGAAGCTAAGAACATTTAATAAGAAGCTAAGAATACTGAAAATATATATATTAGATTTTAAATAATTTTATAAAGGAAAAAAAAATAAAAAAAGTTTTAAAAAAGGTTTTATTCTTAATAACCTTTTTGTTAACACGCTATAATTAAAATCGGATTTGCCCGTAATCATTTAAGTTGATATTGTTAACAGTCAGTTTAAAATTATAAAGTTTTTTAAAGTTAAAAAAAATTAAAAGCTTTTTATAGTGTTAACATATATATTATATTGTTAACAATAAGTTTAAAGCTATAAGATAGGTTTAGTATGTAGGTTTTTTAGTGTTTTTATTTTGGAAAGCTTTTGTTCTAGAAGATATTGTTAGAAGAATACTAAATATTCAGTTATAGCCTTTAAAACTTCAAACTTGTGTAACAGACGCAACGATAGGTTAGACGCAACATTATGTCAAACTAATGGTTGGCAACCTATTTTGAGTAGAGGGCCATTTTTCAAAGCAAGGTTCGGCAAAAAATGTTAAATCTAGTGTTTTTATATTAGGGGGCATCCATAAAATACGTACTCAGTAAAATCACTGATTTAAGACCCTCTCCCCCTTTTACAAACCTGTACGCTTTCAAAGACCCCCCTCTCCGCGTACGTACGCATTGTTTTTTTTTCAAAATTAACTCGTTTTTTTTTTCTGAAGCTAGAAAAAAAAACTGGTCAGAAAAAAAAAACACTATTCTGATTTGTTACACACGTGAAGTTCAATGTTTTAAAAACAATAAAATCATGTTTAGGAGAGATAGTCAAACCGCGTACGTACTCACTGTCTTTAATACCCCTCCTCCTCCCCTTGTTTGCGCTTGTACGCTTTTGGCAAACCCCCTCCCCATCCCTGCGTACGTACTTCATGGATGGCCCCTTTTATAGAACACATTTAGAGGGTGGGAGCAGATTTATATATATATATATTATATATATATATATATATATATATATATATATATATATATATATATATATATATATATATATATATATATATATATATATATATATATATATATATATATATATATATATATATATATAGATCAGTACAGTGGGGAACTACGTTTTTCCACTTAACATTCTAAAAAAAAAAACAATTTTTCTTTGATACATAGTTATGAAATAAATATATACACAAAACAATGCAAAATTATAAATGGAGTACCAAAAACAGTTTTAAAATAAACCGGAAGGAAACTTCAAAAGTTAATTCTAATAAAAGTTTAATCAGCAGCAAGCCATTCAGTTATTTCATAGCAATCAATTTTCATAAAATACTTTTTTTGATTGTCCTTTATCTCTTCGTTTTCGACATTTTGATATGGTAGCATATAACTACCGGTTAAGACTCCATATTCTGCTAAAGTAGAATGTATTAAAACTAAGCCTTTTTTATCAACAGGAACTTCACAACTTTCTGTTGGTCTCCATTTGTTGTATGCTTTTCGAAAAATACTCATGACAACCCATGTTTTCAGTTCTGCTTGAAAAAGACTCCCTATTTTTACATTAAATTTTTCCATGCTAGACTTATTTTTTAAATTCGGTCTATACCAACGTTGTAATAATGATTTAGATTTTTGGTGATTATTAAACGATACATGAGCTTGCTCAGAAATAGAAGCCAACCCTTCTTCACAAATGTCTTTAAGGGATATTTGAGTGAACATTTTCTGAAAAGAAATGATGCTTTGGTTAATCTCAACCAACACCTCATCGACATTGTTTATCTCTGGTTCATTATGAATTACTTCAATTTCTAAAATTGCTTCTTGTAAACTATTATTAATTATTTCTATCAATTTTTCTTGAACATCAGTGTCATAGCCATTATCAGTATTTAAAGCCTTATCCAAGTTGGGATTAATGTTTACTTTTATCAGACTACTTTTATTTTCTATAAAGGAAGTATAGAAGCTCTTTAAATCTGAAAGAGAACTAAATTTTTTAGTCAAAGTTTTTTTAATTCCACATGTATTAAGCAAAACACTCATTTGATTTGAAAACTCATTGATTATTGGAAAAACTATTTTGGATAGTTTACTAGCAAATGATTGATGACAAAATTGGTCAAATAAAACCTTTTCTTGATTAGGTGATAAATTCAATGTAGGGATAACTTCTTTTTTCTTTGTTTTTTGTTTTTCTAGAATTGCAGTTACAGATGCAACAAAGCCAGTTAAAGTACTGGCATAACCTTTTGACGAATTCCCTCCAGTGTTTAATGCAGATCTAAAAGCAGATGAAAAAAATTGATTTATTCTATCATCATACTGAATAAAACCACGAATTGTGAATTCTCTTTCAAATTGTCTAGTACAACCAAAATAATGCTCACAAGGTTCTTCAGTACAATATCTAGGGCATTTAATTCGCTCCTGTGGGTACAAAAAGATAGACCCTATTGCATTTGCAACAATGTTCTTTAAAGTTATAAAGTGAATACCTTCAATTGATAAAAACCAAATCATTGCGCACCATTTAAAAGCAATTCTTAATTGAAAATCAATATCGTCAGCATTTGTTGAAAGAAGAAAAAGTCTGAGAAATAATAACGTTAAAGAAAGTATGTACTGTGATTCCTTTGAAATTGCATGACTGTTAAAATCTGCTTCTATTATCTTTTTTATTAATTTAGGGTCACAAATTCCTAACACTAAGGCATCAGATGCAAAGTCTTTAACTTCATATAAATCTCTAGATATATTTAAACTTGCGTGTGCAAATATTCCAGGTTGAATCAGATACGATCCAATTGTTTTTAATTCGGTCCCAGACAAAATTTGATTTCTTATGGCTTTTGCAACATGATTATCATCTATAAAAGCAACTTCATTTGTTTTTTTATCAAGAAATGATAATAAAATCTTTGTTATCCATTTACTTTCGTATGATACACCATCTGTGCAAAATGAAACAACTTCGAAATTTGGGTGTCTTGTTAAAACATCATAAATGTGATTATTGAATGTATAATTACTTTCATTTGTACTTTGGGGATGAATACATAGAAGTTTAATTGGTGTTGTTCCTTCAGGACAGTTGTGAATCATTATAACAACTGCTTTAACTTCTGTTGCTAGATCTATTGCACTGTCAATACCATTAAGTGTTTCATCATTTATTTTTAGTATATGATTTGGCGCAACCTTTCCCACAATACAATTAAACTTTACACAAGTTAAAAAGGCTGGAATTACTTTGGTAGCATCCATAGATACAGACACAATTAGTTTATTGGTACCAGGCATTATTTCATAAATTTTATCTAATCTTTTGTTAAGGCCATCTAAAGAAACATCAAGAATAAAACTATTTGATGTTTTTGCAGTGACGCGTTGTATATGTCTCAAGGAAACACTAGGGAGATTTGCAGCAACAAATCTATAAACACATTTACCAAATGTTCGAAGCATTAAAAAAAAATCTAACATCACAATTCGAAATTTTTCATTCGTCTTACCACTTGCTTTTGAAATTAGACAAGACTGCATTGCATGTAGTAGAGTTCCATTTTGTTTAGGATTTTCTTTGTAAAGTTTATGAAATGATTGGAAAAAGGAATCATATCCTGAAATTTGATTTGTTTCTGAAACAGTAATTCCAATCGCCAAAAGTTCTTTTTTCAGATTTAATAATGAAGTAATACCTTCAATTTTTAAACTGACCTTTGCAGCTAACAGTTTTCTTTTTTCATTACACCGTGCATGATTAAGTTTACAGCTCTTTACAAATTTTTTAAGTGCTTCTAAGTCTGCTTCACGAATTTCAGATGATTCGATAATTTCTAAAACATCTCTTACAACACCCATTGCTTCCAATCGACTAGTGAATGATCTATTTCTACATAAATTAATGCAATGATCACATTTTTTGATGTGATTTCCAGTACATTGAATGCTATGAAGATAAATTTTATCATCTATTTTAACAAATTTTGCGTTATTATTTATCATACTATCCATAATGCCATAGGAGTTAAAAAGGACTACAAGTTCTCTTCTCTTATTAAATACACCATCGCATGGTTTAGTTAATTTTATTTTAGCTTCAGGAATAATACTAAAATCAATTCCAGAATTAGCCACAACTTCTAATTTCGAAACATTTGGAAAAACAATAGGAAAAAACTGGTGTATATTAGTTTGAAAAAGCCCAGCTTCATTTTCTTTACGAACAGATACCTCGTGTGAAATGGATTTACAATGTTGATCGTACTCATGGGTAGTAAAAGATCTTCCCTTTCTGACTTTGATTCCGACGTTACATAGCAAGCATTGTATATTGTTACCATTTTGATCTAGTTTAACATATTTCTTTGATTCTAACTGTACTGCTTTATCAGGCCACTCTACTTTCCTTTTAGAAGCCATATTTAATTCTGCTTTGCGCATTTAAATAAAGCGCGGGTCTGAAACAGAAGGCCTTAAAATTCTAACACCCTACATACATTATGCGAGTCCTTCTGTTCTAGGCCTTCTAAAATTGAAAAATGACCCGCATACCCGCAACCGAAGGCCTTCGGTCAATATTTGAGAACCGCACGCCGACAAACAGAAGGCCTTACTTTTTACCTATGTCACCCCTCCTCAAATATTCGGTGATTTTATTATTTATGAGTTTGAAGTTTTAGTCTAATACTATGGGGCAGAAGTTATAAAAGCTGAAACTTTTCTGTTTAGTAATTTATTTAAACGACTATAAAGAGATTATGGAAGTAAATTGCTATGAGTGAAAACTAATGTGAAAACTGCAATTTTAACGTTTTTACTGTTTACTAAAAGATGCCCCGTCGCGTTTTTATGTATTTTAGTGGTAGTTTTGTTTTGCTTGATGCTTTGGTTAAATAGAGATTTATAAAAAAATAATAAATTATATAAGAGAAGCTTAAATTCTACTTTTTAAAAATATATAACAGTAATAGTCGAAAATAAGCGGAAAAAAAAAAAACACAAAAAATTGAAAAACAAAAAAAAAAAAAAAAAAACACAAAAAATTGAAGTTTAAAAATGTAAAGTTTTATTTTTAAGAAATGCAAATTGTTCGGATCTCTCTACGCTGAGATATCATTGCGTGATTACGTAAAAGAGTAAATCTTACCTTATTTTGGTTTTAATAACTTCCTCAGTTTTTTAAAAACAAACAAACAAACAAAAAAAAACACTATGCGCATGTCTGCGCACTAACTTTAATATTGACATCTTGTATAAGAGTGAATGTTATATTAGTAAAAAAACATCAAATAATACGAATTCTTTTAACACAATTAATAATTTATTATTAGAAATTTTTGTTGGATTATGGTTACCAGCATAATCAGCTCATAAAAATTATACAAAAAAAAAAAAAAAAAAAAAAAATTTTAATAATTTTACGAGCTAATGATGCTGGTAACCATAATTCAGCAAAAATTTCTAATAATAAATAATTAATTGTATTACAAGAATTCGTATTATTTGATAATGATACATACATACATATACATATATATATATATATACATACATATATATATATATATATATATATATATATATATATATATATATATATATATATATATATATATATATATATATATATATATATATGTATATGTATATATATATATATATATATATATATATATATATATATATATATATATATATATATATATATATATATATATATATATATATATATATATATATATAGGTATAGATATATCGCAATACCTGGCCTATTTCATTTATATTAAAATAATTACTGGTAAATGAAAAAGTCGTGGATGACGGAAATTCATATAAAATAATTCTTTTTTACTTTAAAGATTTGTTTTTAAATTTATTTTATTTACACTTTATTAGTGCAAAATTAAAGAAAATCAAATATCACACCATATGAGATTTAAACAAATTTATAATGATGCGCTGCCCTTGCCTAACGTAAAAAGCATTGCGTAAATTGCGTGGTAAATCGTTGGGTTGAGTGATATTTTCATCATTTTTCATGTTTTTATCTAACACATCGAGTACACTAAAAATTGAAATATTTTAACTATTTTAGAATTTTAAAATTTACTTCTAGCACATTAATAATTGTGAATATAAAACCGTCATTAGACGTAAAATAAAGCTAAAAATAGATCAAATTACTTACAACAAAATTGTTTCTTTCCATTCTGGTTTCATTAGTTCTTTTAGTTTTTCTAGACAAAAAATAAAACATGTCTTATCATCTTTCGCTCGAGAAAATATAAGAACAATGAACGTCTTTGAAAAAAACATCAAACGTCAACGTCAAACCGTTGCATGAGAATTATAAATTATGAGAATTATAATATATCTGCCTTTTTTTTATGTTATATAAGAATTCAGCAATTAAAGTTTTAATAATCAACAACAAAAACAAACAACTTAATTAAATATACAATATTTCTTCAATCATGAAACAACATAAACACGACATAAAAAAAACAAAAGGCAGATTTTAATTGTCATGCGCAGAAACGTTTTTTAGTAAAGTATTTGACTAAACTTAAATTTAAAAACATCCATAATTTCATACAACTGGATAAAGTTTCTTTAACTTTTCATTAACTATCAGTCTTTTATCTGAATATGGTTTCTTTAACCTAAACTTAGGTTTTATCTGAATATGGTTTCTTTAACCTAAACTTAGGTTTTATCTGCATATGGTTTCTTCAACCTAAACTTAGGTTTTATCTGAATATGGTTTCTTTAACCTAAACTTAGGTTTTATCTGAATATGGTTTCTTTAACCTAAACTTAGGTTTTATCTGAATATGGTTTCTTTAACCTAAACTTAGGTTTTATCTGAATATGGTTTCTTTGGTTTAATCTAAACTACCCAACCTTTTTTCATATTTCATGATATATCATATTTTTATTTCTGTTAGGCAAGCATTATGTGATTTTTTTTTTGCTATACCCTGAAACCTAATTTTTTTAGCTATAACCTGAAATCCAATGTCTCCTACTATAGATGAAAATTGCTTAAGATTTGCTCAAAGTCTGAAAATAACTTTAGTAATTTGAAATTATATAAAATTTTCGTATATTATTTTCGTATTTTTATACTACTTTCATTTCTTTCGAAATTGGAATTAACACAAAAAAATGTATGAAATGATATTTTTCATATATTCAGAAATAAGCCTGAACTAATATTTTTAGAAAAGAACCTTTCTCATATATTAAAGTAAATGCCTGTTTGAATATTTAAGTATAAAATAAAAAATTATAAATTAAAAAACAAAAAAAAAAATATAAAAACGGTAAATGTTTAATAAAATACCATATGACAAGGAAAAAGGAAAGCTCTCTTCAACAAATTCTATGTCTTCTCCTGACTCCTCTGCACTTGAATCAACATCAAAAACGGTTTGCATATGAGATAACAAGCCATTATCTGATACATCTTTTGCGATATTGGATTCTGGTAAACTCGTAAACAGTGTAATTGAACTACTTGAGGAATTTAAGTCCATTGAGATTTGATTAATATTTCTGTTTTCACTGCAACCATTGTCTAACATATTTTCAGAAATGGGGTGCACATTTGTCACCGATGTATTAATATTTTTAGTGTCAATAGAACTCATAATAAAAATTTCTGAATCTTCTTTATGATTAGAGTCTTCTTTATAATTGGAATCAGCATCGAAATGAGTTAAACTAATTTGTTTATTTCCTTCATCACAACTAAACAATTCAACTTTTTTTCCGCATTTTATATTGTCCGCTGCATCATTCATTTGATTTGCTGTTATATCCTCACATGTTCTCAGCAGTTTATTTTGGTCCGAATTCGAACTTGCACCACTTGATAACAGTTCAGATTTTAAGTTAATTTGCAAATCTGAATCATTTTCGTTTTTATAATTGCAACACTCACCTGCCTTATTGTTTATATCATTATCTTCATCCGATTCATCTATAATTTCAATAGTGTTTGATGTACTACTCCCAACGTCAAGTTCAATAACAGAACATTTCTTAGAACTAGAATACTGACACGACAAAAGTGAGTTTGAAAGTAAAGGTCGTTTACTGCTAAATGCATTTTCATCAAGTTCATTTTCGTCAACATTTTTGCGCTTATTAAAATTTTCAATATCCATCTCGGTATCATCTTCCGTAATATCAATGACTGTCATTCCCAATGAGTTTTTTTCTGTTTTTTTTGACAGGCGTAACTTTCGTAATAATTTATGATAGAAAGATTCAGGGCGTTTACTTGCACGAGTTTTTAATATCTTTTCCAGTTCACGATCACTTGCATGAAATATCTGAAAATAATAGAAAAAACAGTTGCTGCACAATACATATATTATCCTAAGAAACTTTATAACCAGTTTTAAAAAATTTAGAAAATTTCGTATTATCTGATTTTTTAAATTAAATAAAATATATAATCTCATTATTGGTATTACGATTGAATATAATATATACTTTGTATATAAAATATGGTATTATGTTTGTATATAAATATATTTTTGAATGTTAACACACAATGTCACATTCAACAAAATATTTTTGATTTTTATTATTATCAAATTTACTATATGTTTAGCCTCTTTAGACTATCAATTTAAAATACGCAGATCTATAACTATATGAGGTAGACCATCAAAATTAGTGAAACAATTTTTACACTAAAACTGCAGTAGTGGTGTAGTGGTAAGTGGTAAATTTGTAAGTAAGAAGTTTCAAGTTTGGTCCTCTACATGTTAATTGTTTTTCTGCACTCCTTGTTTGTCAAGATAGGTGTTTTAACATTAAAGGGTTAAAAGAGAATTTTAACAACCATTGATGATTGTAAAAACAATTAAAAACAAAAAAAAAACAATAAAAAAATGAAGTGAAGAAAAAAAGTGGAGCCTTCTTAACTTATAGTATTGTTCAAATTTAAAATAAAATATGATTAAATATGAATTAATGCATTATAATAAATATGATAATTATGACAAATATGATAAAATGTTATATTAAGAACAAAATCTATTTAACACAATGACAATCACCTATTTTAATGTTTAGCACCATGATTGTTTGCAAATTGCAACGCTAATCAAATTATTGCAAACATGTATTACAAATTAAAATAATTATTGACAAGTTCTATATACAATAACTAGTTAGAATGAAAGATCTATTTTTGGAATATATTAAAATTTATTTTTTGTTTTGTTAAAAAATATTAGATTTATTTCAGTTTTTTTTTAAAGAAGAATCAAATTTACTCTCAACAAGAATGCAATTAACCACAAACTTTGTTGGAAAGACAAAAAACAAAAAAAAATTACTTTGAACAAGAAACAATTAAAGATGCAAAGCAGAGGACTCAGTAATAGGATAATCATTCATCAATGTAGAAAAAAATAAACAACTAAGTTTTGTTTGGGTTTAAATTCACCAGCTATTCATTCATAAGCCCCAAGCTGTCACAGAAAGATATTGGATTGAAAATCAACTGCCCGTGGAGAAAAAATCAACTGCCCGTGGAGAAAAAATCAACTGCCCGTGGAGAAAAAACAGTAACAGGATGATGTTCAGTAAATTAAAAACACCATCCCGCCTAATCATTGTCATATAGAGAGATTTATAAAAAAAGTGGTATAACGCTGCATCCCACCTCACTTCAAGCACTGTCAAGACTGAAGTATATAATTGCATCATCAGCAAATAGACTTTAAACTTTATAGGTAAGATAATCAGAAAGATCAATAAAATAGATAAGGAAAACACAAAATCAAGGATGGAGCCGTGCAGTACCACAGAAGTTACTAAGAAATGAAGGAGAGTGTTGTTCAACAAAGACAACTTCAATACTGTAGTTAGAAAGGGATGGATTCAATAATTTTTAAAAACTTTCCAAGATGTACAAAGCAGTAGTGGTGTAGTGGTAGAGCACTAGCTTCATAAGCAAGTAGTTACAAATTTGATCCCAACCATCTCCCTGGTAGTATCACACTCAACTTGTTTTTCTGCACAGTGACCTTGTTCATCAAGTTTTGTATTTTAGAGTTGAAAAAGGGTTGTAACCACAATAAAGCAGCCACCTTGACTGTAGTGGCATTCTCAGCCTTGGTGAACAACATTAAAAAAAAAAAGTAAGCTTATGAAGAAGACCAGTATACCAAATTTATCTAAAGTCATTGATGTGTAAAGACCAATAGACCTTATATTACTGCTTCCACCTAATTCAAAAAACTTTTCCTTTAACAAGTCAGAAGTAGAACTAAAGGATTGAAATTTGCATTGATTAACAACTGAGTAAGCAAGACTCATAACAACTGAGTAAGCAAGACTCATAACAACTGAGTAAGCAAGACTCATAACAACTGAGTAAGCTGTTTGACTCATAATGAAATACTAGAAGTTTGTTATTTAAAGATTCAAAGACTTTGCTAATGTAAGACTTGCCTTAGGTTATAACATTGTTCAAGATTTTAAAAAAAGTCTTTTGAGATTCTGAGTTCATCTGAATCTAATTTATGAGATAAAATATGAGGTTTAGTAATCTGAGAACGGACTTTAGCGTCAGACTTTTTCTAGTGCAAAAGTCTGACATAAAGGTAAAAAAAAAGTTAAGGTCTGTTCTTGCATCAAATACCTTTTTGCATCAATTTCTTGAACAGAGGAATAAAAAACGCTAGCCCATGATTCATTATAAAGAAAATCACAAAAAAATATCAGCTGTAAGGTAGCAATAAGAAGTGCAATGATAGGGTTTGATGTAACTGATGGAACTGGGTAAATATGATGTAGAAATAAGTTTTAGTGAGACAAACCATATAGAGAATAACAAAGACTGAATCACATAAAGAAGAACTAAGACCTGTTACCTGTATACCTGAAGAAGAATAAAGAGAAACTGAGCACAAGCTAGGCTCAGAGACAAGAAACAAATTGAGTGAAGATAAGTGATTAGGGTTGTCTGGAAAATGAGTCAGAAAGTTAACTGTTTTAAAAAGAGACAAAGAAAATTTTGAGATTTAGAGCCAGCAGGGTCAGTGGTAATAGAACCAACACATTTAGTGTGATGAGCATTAAAATCACTTATAGCAACAATATTGGGATATGAAAAAAAATTTGATAAAAAATAATATCGAAATAAATGGGAAAATGGAGAGGAATAAAGAACAAAAAGAATGCTGATAGAGTGAGGAGGTGGTAAGCATAAGCACATTTGCACACACTTTTTATGCCAAATAATTTGTTTGAACTCATCTGAGTTTTTGTGAATATTTACCAAAGCTAGCTCCTGTGAACCCACCAGCAGATGGTGTTACGAATTTGATTTTATAACAAATAGGTGTACTGATACATAAGTATATAACCCAGGTCAAGTATGTGACTATTGGAGTCTTCATAAATTAAAAGGTGAAAATCAACAACACTAAGGAATTGAAGATGAAAAAGCTGAAATTATTTTAGTCTCATAAAACGAGTTTGTCTTGTTTAGTTTGTCTTGGAAATTTGCTCAAGTTAAGACTCAAATCATTAAAATTCACGAAAAGTTACTTCAAACACCATAAATATTTAGGATAGCTTAAAAAAATTTGGTGGTAATGATGGATTTTATTTATTAATATTTTTAGGTATTTTATCCATGTTTTTAATTAGAAGAAATTAGAGAACTTGACTAATCAATTTTGACTTTATTTGTATTGATCTAATCATAGATAAATTTAGAACACACAAGACAATAATTCAAATGCTTCATTCTTGCTTATCAACTTAAAGTTGTTACAAAGGGCCTCCTATGTAGACATAACAATGTACATCTAAAGCACTAACAAGATCTTCTATATACAACATGGCACTAATACTCTGATATTTTACAGTTGCTGTTAAAATTAGCTTCTCTGAAAGCTACCACAGAATTTAGAAAAATTTAATTATCAGCCTTCTACAAAATAGTAGCCAGATGCAGTTAACTTTTGTTCAAAATGAGCATTTTTAACTAAACGAAGGTGAAAAAAATTTTTAAAAAAATAATAAAAGTGGTTAGGTGGATAGCCAAAGCATGAATGTATGCTAAAATTAAATAAAAATGGTTCAGGTGGACAACCAAAACATGAATGAATACAAAAAATAAATAAAAGCGGTTCGGGTGGATAGCCAGAGCATAAATGAATACAAAAAATAAATAAAAGTGGTTCGGGTGAACGACCAAAGCATGAATGAATACAAAAAATAAAAGTTATTCTGGTGGATAGCCAAAGCATTAATGAATACAAAACATATACTGTATAAACAATATATAAGGAAAAACGCTAAAGTCAATATTATTTAAAGTCAGTTATAAATATCATTAATAATTAATGAATCTTATATTTATATTAACCCTTAAACCACTGAAATAGAAATAACTTGAATCTTGTCCATAGATGAATATTTGACTTTATGAAAATCCCGGAAATTTTTTCCTATGATAATCCCGGAAAATCTGAAAAACTGAACATTTTTCAAGAGAAACACAGAGTTCTTTAGCAATGCTTACGTGAAATTCCTTCATGATCATGTCTTTTATTTTATCATCACTATCTGCAGTTTTATTTTTTTCAGCAGTTAGTCTTCTATACAAAATGAACGCATTTGTTACAGTCATGTCCAGAAAATTATAGAAGATCCTGGTTGCGATATCCTGAGTCCATTAAATCGACACCACCCATATGTGCGTTGTATTCTCTGATAATTTGTGGACAATCAATTTCATCATATGAACTTTTTTTTTATTGTATCGAGCTTTTTTTAATGATTGACTTGATGTATTATTTCTTTGGAAGGGCATAATTACCAACATAAGTTGAGCACAGTCTGACATTCTTTGTATCCTTCCACAAAACTGTGGCGATGTCAACACCATAAGCCGATCCAACAAATTCTATTGAATAACCCCGTGAAGCTTTTTTCAGTTCTTCATTTTTGTCATCAGGAAGTTTGCACTTGGGAATACGATTTGCTCTCGCAGTGCCAAGAGCATAAATGCTATGTGCTCTTAGATACACCATAACTGGCAGAGATGTGTAGAAATTGTCGAAATATAATATATGATTAACAAAATTTGGTATTGTTTGTGACAACCTAATAACAACATTTCCTGTTGCTCCAATGTTTAGTGTAAAAGGCAGAACTATGTCATCATTTTTGGGTGCGGTATATATTTCAAAACGTATGAGTATCCATTGCTGTCACACAAAATAAAGAGCTTTACGTCCCACTTATGAGGTTTGTCAGGTAAATACTGCCGTAAATGATGAACCATTTTTTGTGGAACACA